AGGGCTTTTTGTGAATATTATAGTAATTTATTATTTGAGGTCCCAGGTTTAAATCTCGCGGTGTGGGATCGTGGATGCACGCTGCTGAGAAGTCCCATACTAGGACAAAACGGCTGTCCAGTGCTTCCAGGTTTTCCATAGTGGTCTAGCTTTAATTGACTTATGAACTCAACTAGTAGAAAGATTTATCTCAACAATTCAGAAAACAAACCTTTTAGATGTATCAGCGACCTCCTGGCATCTATCCATTTATCTATCAACTAGTCAATCTATCTATTATCTTCCTATAGATGTCAATCCACCAACGACGAAAGAAATCAGAATGGCCATCAGACAAATCAAGAGCAGGAAAGCAGCAGGACCCGACAATATACTAGATGAAGCACTGAAGCCAGACATCGAAGTAACTACAAACATGCTTCACCTTCTATTCAAGAGGATTTGGGGGGAGAAACAAGTGCCGACCCTACGTTGATTGCAAAAAGAACATAAGAACGCCATAGTAGGTTTATTTATTTATTTGAACGCATAAACATTAGTACAAGGAGGCACCAAATACATATGCGCCACACAGAAACAAGTGCCGACGGACTGAAACGAAGGACACCTCATCAAGATTCCAATGAAACGAAATTATAATGTTTTGAATTATTTGAATTGTAGTATGAACTAAGAGTCCCAGAAATAACGCAATTGGATTAAGAAGTGAGACACAAGCACAAACGAATGTATTGTATTTGGAATTCGAAATCGAGCATTCAACATGTGGAATCCGTCACTACACATCAACTTCATTGATTATGAAAAGGCACTTGACAATTTAGATATGAAAACATTATGGAATATTCTTCGACACTGTGGAGTTCCTAAGAAGATTGTCAACGTTATCCGGAACTCATACGACGGAATGCAGTGCAGAGTCGTGAATAGAGGACGGATGCATTCCAAGTAAGGACCGGAATCAGACAAAACAGCTCGATATCAACTAGAAGATCTGGACTTGGCAGATCATTTGGACCTTCTATTCCATGCACATGGACAAATGCAGGTGACGACAACCGGTGTAGCAGGAGCCTATGTCTGCATCAGTAGGCCTCAACATACAGAAAGGAAAAACCAAGATCTTCAAAAACAACACGAAGAACACCAACCTAATCACACGCGATAGAAACTAACGGTTAAATCAACTGTCGTTCGACATGGTAGCTGGTCACTCATGCATTATGTATACTACGTGTTTTTCAGTAAAATGTGATCACCAGTAAACAAACAAATAGAACGAAATGTGATGCTGAGAATTATAATTTATTCTAATGAGTGTAACAAAACATCAAGCACATTTGAAGATGAGATAATCAAAAGCCAACTTTTCTGTTGCATACAATAAATGATTTCTACATTCATGTTGTAGTTATTCAGTCTTCGTTAACTGCCTCCTAGGATTGCAATGATTGCAGTGGTCCACATTGTCTAAAATGTTTGACAAAAGATAAGAAGTCAAGTTATGTTACTAGCAATCGAATATTAAGTTGCTTTGTAAACACAGTAGTTTTCGAATGAATATCTTTTCAACCTCAGTCTTAGTGTGCAGAAGTGCTACACCACTCGTCCATATCTCCATGGAGTCCATCCCAAATTTAGACTGCAAATATCAAAACAAGTCTGACATTCTATGGATTCCTTAACAAGTTTTTCTTCGTACAAGTTTCTAGACTTACGGAGGGTCGAGGCACAAGTGTTCCGAGCCTTTCGATACTGAGATTTTGACTCATTAGTCCCCAGTAACCTAAATCTATCCCACAATTTCCTTGTCGCTTCTTTCACATGTTGCACTAGAGCACATGTGATAACCCCATCAACTAGTTCCTGCTCGAAAGAATTCTCCGACGATTTAGTTCGCAGATTTTCCCAGTCTACCATAGGTGCATTAAAGTCCCCTAGGATTAGACATCGACCACTTTGGGACCAAGTATTGAGACTGCTTAACAGGATCTCATTTGCCTCACAGCTTGGACTGCGATAGACCAAACCAATCAGCAGCTCTTGTCCCTTGCATTTTAAGCGAAGACTAACTAATTTACACGTCCCACTTTCATGGGATACACTATCGATAATGGTAAATAGGATAGCATTCCTAATGAATAGAGCTACTACCCCTCCTTTGCGCTTTTGTGTTCTGTCGGCCCTTACTAACGTAAAGCCCTCGAAATCAAGTTCTATACTATCTATAGCCTGTGTCAGCCAGGTTTCTGTTACTGCGATTATATCTGGCTTTGTAGAGTCAATCTGTACACCTAGTTCCGATCGCTTATTAAGTAAGCTTCGTGCATTGGTGTAACAGATCCGAAGCCTCTTTAAGTGCCTTCGTGCTTCACCCAGAGTGGCTTCGGCATCATTCTCTGTCGAAGTCTTACAACCCGAAAATTTACAATTTTCAGGTCCTTTTCGCCAGCGTCTAACCTATGTTGTAGTTCTTTCTCGGCTTCCCGTCTTTTAACACGGTCTGCCAACGGTAGGTCCTTTCGGATAAAGACTCCTGAACCCTTTAATTTGTGTCCATTTTGTAAAATTAGGTCACATTCGTTCGAAGAGCCGAACACTACTTTAAGCAGTCTGGAATGATTTGGTTTCGAGTCCGTTAGACTCCCTAGTCTGTACACATTTAGCAAGGTGACCCCGGTCATATTTTGAGGCATGAGTTGATTAAGCAGCTGCCTAATCAGTACAATGTCATGCTCAAAACGAGCTTTAGGTTCAGAAGCGATAGCATCAACCAGTGAGATGGCCTCGGTTAGCAAGCTGTTTGCATCCGAGCAGCACTGTTGACAAAGCCACACACAACCCTTCTTACTGAACCGTTTGAAAGCAGCAGGCGTTAAGTTCGTGCAAACTTCGTGGTACCAGCCTTTGCACTCGTCGCACTGCATGCCGCTTCCAACAGGATAACGACAACCCGGACGTTGACAACTGCTTTTTTTACACTGTCCGGTCATTTTGGAGGGGTTCTTTTTTAAACTGTGATGATACTCCGAACAAAAAAAATTATCAATGATCAAAAGTGAAGAGCTATAGATTGTTAGGACCAAAAGTACTAACAGATACAGTTGAAAAAGAGGCACTCAAGAGTACCAACGACAAAACAGTAAAAACGATACTTTAGTCAAATACTTTAACTGAAATAAATTCAATTAAAGTGAAAAACAGTAGCCTTGATGCGTAATAAACGATCAAAACAAAGAAATTTACTCAGTGAGGAAAAATACCACTGTCCTTTTTAAATAGCGCGCGTGCGTTATTTTAAAAGTGTTTGCATAACTTTGGATGCATTTTTAATAGTGTAAAGATTATCTATCTATCTTTTCTCAAATCACTTTGTGATTAGTGGCCACGATTGCAATCATGGGGCTTTATTAATTGGCATTACCAAAAAGAAAACTTTCTTCACGTAACTGTGTTCGTTTAAACGTAAGGTGATAGGTGGTAGACAAGTGAGTTATTTGTGATGCAACTGGCCTATTGTGGAGTTGAATTATTTAGAGTTTACTGATCGCTGATTTTGACTAATCTCATGTTTAGTTAAAGTTAGTTGATTTGAAGTTCTCACTTTTCAGACTATAAAGCTGTGTGACATGTGTTCGAATCATTCCGGTGATGCAACACTTCTCTCATAACTATATGAACTCCTTGTTGATAAATATCAACTTACGTCTGAAAATTTCTCGCGACTACCTTCAACCACCTAAAATGACAACATAGTCCGTACGATATCTAGTCACATAAACTAATTACCAAACTGCAATGTGGAAAATAAAACCAACCATTACTCAAACGACTAGACAAGCATGACATTGTCCAGTACTCATTGGTCAATTATTTCAAACCATTCATTACTCGTTATGGTTGATCAACTGTTGATTTTCCATTAGTCGTATTCGTTGATTTCTCATTATACTGATAATCAATTAGCCACATCAAATTATTTCTCTCCTAAATTCCATTTCATTTGAAAAATTTCTTGAAAGAGTTCGAATGGTCATTTAACTGATCCACATTGTCAAAATGCTTGTTCTTTGATATGACTACTTTATCGTATATGCGGTATAAATGCATTTATCACTCATTTCCATAGATTATCTTTCTCATATTTAAGAACTTACCTAGAACCTCCACGATATCCAGATCGATTTGCTATTTCTGCTTCACTTGGTGGTGCTAACGAAAGGGTTCTAGTACAATATCTGTTCGTCGTTTTCAATATATCATTAGAATCGAGTGAAATATTCACTCCCTCCACGTGAATAAACATTTGTCCTAAAGTAGAAAAAGCAGTAAACCATGATTAGTGAGGCTAAAAACCAAGAGATGTTGATTGAATTGTGAATCATATCACAAATCTGCACGAATTGCGTGTTACTATTACTACTACTACTACTACTACTACTACTACTACTACTACTACTACTACTACTACTACTACTACTACTACTACTACTACTACTACTACTACTACTACTACTACTACTACTACTACTATTAGAACTGTAGTGGATGGAGATTTGGTGAGGACAGCCAGTTTGTATTTTTGTTCAGAATCACACAATGCCTTTGTAAAATATGAAAATCTCACATTTAATAAATCACGTGAATATATTCTATCGATTAGCCTTCACACACTTCATTATTCTTCCGATCCTGTTATTATTTCGACTGCTCTTCGTTTCCCTTCTCCTTCTCTTCACCTCACTGTTTAGACGGTAGGTATTCTACTTCCAATTCCAACTATCTACTAATTATGTTTGTACGTGCATACCACACTACTACTACTACTACTACTTCTACTACTACTCCTACTACTACTACTACTACTACTCCTACTACTACTACTACTACTCCTACTACTACTACTACTCCTACTACTACTACTACTACTACTACTACTACTACTGACAAAAGCAACAATAATGATAAGTATATTATTAATGAATAAATAATTCACATACCTGTATCGTCAAACTGAATTGGTACTCTAAATGTGACTGATCCAATTTTGATTATGCTTAACGTGCATAAAATCACTACGGCAATATACAATTTGAACATGTGGGATATCATTCCTACAGTTGATATTAATAGTAGAAAGCATCACACTATGATTGACATTTTCATGAAAATAAGCAAATATTAAATCATCTCTGTACAAAACTAACTTAATTTGATACACCATTTGATTATGTTAATTTGATGTTCTTAATGCTGAATATCGGTACAAAACTGTTCTCTATTTCCTAGCACCAAATTCATCTATATTCACTCATGGTCACTTTGATGTTTTCACATTTATACATATGTAAAGAGTGATTATAATCAGTGGACTGTGCATGATCTACACTATGATTTTGTACTGACTGAGAAGTCACACATTAGGACGAAACAGACATCCAGTGCTTTCAGGTTTTCCATGGCGGTCTAGATTTAATTGACTCATGAATTCAACTATTAGATGTTAATTTCTTTGGGAAAAGCTACAGCCACTGTCAAGTTTACGTTTCATGATTAACTTGGATGAAAATTTTGTGGAGTTGTCAATAAACCTTGAAATCTTACATTATTTCATTTTGCTTCTCATTAGTAGTGCAATAGTACACCTATTCGACAATCGTCCATTCGTACAATTTACCCATTATGTGCAGTTTCGTAATCTATTTCATTGTGATCGTTGATCCATAAATTCCCTTGATCAGTTTAATATTTTCACATGTTCATAGAGTAAAATCTGATAAATATCGTATTGACAACATTAGTGTTCGCTCATATGTGTTGTCTTAGTCTTGAATTCAACAAACGAATTCTTGTTTCGTAAGTGGGTTATAATGAGTATTACATACATAATACAGACACAGAATATGCTGATGGTCTAATACACTTGTGTACCTGGAATAAACTCATTGTAATGCATCTCCTAAACTTCTATGAATTACCAAGTCAGGAGATAGGTAAACAAGCTCAGTCACAGATTACATTTCATTATGAAAATATTACAGAATAACTTACTGCAATTGTCCTATTATTGTTAGAGATATGACTTGGAGGAGTGAACAATTTATACAGATGAATTGAGCGATAAGCCAATGAAAAACCGTTGTATGAGATTAAATGTATGTTATGAACCATAATGTACCGACATAAACTACAGTTTTATACGAAATAAACCACCTAACGACTCAATGTAACGAAAACATCTAAATAAATAATCAGGGTTATTTGTTGATCAATGATTAGATAATCCGATTAAATGATTAAATGAAATTTACAGAACATTTTGGAATGTTTATTGTTTACGAATCCGCTGTTCATATGTATCCATAAATATGTCTGAGTGAACTCAAATTACATCGTTTTCTTGTTTACATATTAGCCGTATGGCAGTGATGCTTGGATTGACTACTATTATAATTATTATTATTATTAATGACTTTATTCAATATTATATTTTGGTACAATATGGAATTCTCAGCACAGGGTATTTCAACAAGTTACTTACGCTAAAACAAAACAGGAACAAAGACAAAAAAGGTTGAAAAAACCGACAAACTGTACAACTTTTCAAATTAGAGACATGTTATGAATGCAGGTTATTGACTAGGTTTGTGGAGATAGGCCTAATAAACCTATTTTGTAAATAGTTTTTGATAGCTTTTGCATTTATTTTGTTTATTTCCACAATCTGTACATATATCACTAAACGATTGTACTTGTTGTTTAACTATGTGACCTTGACGACGAACTTCCGCGTTGAATTACAAATCGCACGACATTGTTAACTGTGCATTAATAAATAAACTCTTATACACACATGCCTCGTTCTGTCATGCCTATGGATATAGTAACTAAACTATTGAATAACTATCAACTATATTTATAGACTGTTGTGACATTCCCATTACATTCTACGTCGAGGAAACTGGCTGCAGCCATATTTACCTCATTGAAATTATTAATTATCTATAATTTTGGAACTTTGGTAACACGCACAACGAAACACGCAACAGTCAGCTGATTTAAGCAACATTCTTGAACCTTTATTTTGCGGTAATAATTTATAAGTTGTTTATTGTTATTTTAACTTTTGGATGTAATAACTTTGTTGCTATTCCTTTTTGGTTAATATACTGTTTGGACCACCACAGGTTAACTCGAACAACCTGTTCGTCACAGAGTATATTTGTTAGGTAAGGTGTAAGATCCGTTTTGAATGTTTTGTGTGTATGTGTGTGTGTGTGTGTGAAAATCCCTCCATATTTATACTTGCACTTTGTTCCTATTGATCCCCTTGGTTGTACACTGTTAGTTTTTTGATTACATTTGAATTGTTAATACTTGTATTTTATTATAGTTTTTAATTTTATTACACCTTCACTAAGTCTCCATGTTTCTTACCTAACTGCCCTTATTTTGTTTTACTTTATACTTAGTCTTGGCGGCAGCCATATTGGTTTGTTCCTTCTTTTGATTGCTTTACCTGTGTTGACTGGAATTGTGCATTTTCGGTTGGTAATTGAAGCACTCTTCCAGAATTGGAAACACCCTGTGTTATAAAGCGACCAAATATTATCTTTTGAACGAATCTGTGCGTGCTCTATCCAGACAGAATAGAATAACATTTATTTGTTTTCATTGGTAATTTTCTTGCATCCTTTATCAACTTCCTTACTTATTGTAATTTAGATTTGATCAATTGAACAATTATTGGTTGGATAGCTGAGTGGTCATATTTGTTTAGGTAATAATGCATATTTAAATTTATGATGAATTATAGAACCGTCATTTTACCCAGTTACATTGTTTTGGTTCCAACGGGCAAGGGCGCATATCTAACCCACCTAGTCAGCTATTCATCAGCCCGAACCTTAGTTTGGATCTTATATAAGGTATTATAGAACTTTTATAATTTTGTTTGCGTACATGGATTTTAATGTAATTACTTCTCGTTCTACCAGAAGATATACAAGGAGAAAGACAAGCGTGAAGGGGATGGTTAGTATCTGGTAACATAACACCTGTCTATCCACAACCACATTAATTATGACCTCGAAAGATTCACCACACATCTTGCTAACTGCCTCCAGCACTCTCCGCAATACAGCAAAGTCTTTCCTCGAAAGCCCGGTGGAGAATAATGGAGAACAGTAAAGAATAATAGGTAATATGGAGGAATTGACAAATTGTAAGAGTAAATGACGAGTAATCCCAAGAACATGCAATCTCGTTATGTAGTAAGTCAGACGGAACACCTTCTTTGATAACAATAAAACGTGAGAAGACCAAGACAGATTAGAGGAAAAGGTGACACCAAGATAATTGACCTTCGACACTGTGTTTATCAAAGAGTTTCCGATGGTACAAGCATTATGGGATCTCAAAATAATGTTTAGATTCCGTTCATGTCTCATGCTAAAGTTAACAGCTTGACATTCGGACAGATTAAGTATAAGATCATTACCAACAGACCAACAATCAATACAAGGCAAAAATCCATTCATTTCTACGGAATGTAAAGAGGAAGAGATTGGCATACATACAGTGCGATCATCCGCATACTTCACAAAAGTGTTTTCTGTGGAAGATGGCAGATCATTCAGAAAAAAGAGAAAAGAAGAGGTGAAAGAACAGCTCCTTGTGGTACACCTTCATGAGACAGCATAGACTCTGAACACTTTCCTCCAAATACAGTGTACCGTTCCCTTTCAGAGGTAGGAACATAGCCAGTTGGTTATCCAGCTGTTAGTGTTGATGTTGATTTACTTGTTAAGCAAACGTTGTCTTGGTATAGAATCAAAAGCCGAAGTATAGCCCAGAAAAGCGCATCGAACATACCTCTTACCTTTTCTAAGTTGAACACTATATTGTGATGCACAAACAGCAACAGCATATAAGGTGCTTCTTTTGCATCTGTAAGCAAACTGATACGGATCAATATGCTCTTTTGTCGCAGGCTGAAGTGGAAGTATTAATAACTTTTCCATGGTTTTGCGGAAGGGTGAAGTTATTGCAATAGGTCTAACTTTCACATTCCTATCACCAGATACTTTCTTGAGTACAGGGATTGTCTTCATCTTCCTCCACATTTTCGGCATAATATTAGATGAGAAGGATCTGTTAAAGATAATCGTGAATGGATGAGATAGGACGTCAGCACATTTCTTAAAAAGGCGGTTTGGGATACCATCAGGTCCCAAACATCGGGATGAACAAGGTGACTGAAGACATCTTCGGACATCAGCTTCAGTGAAACTAGGAACACAGCGATTTTATAAACCGGTGGATAAAGAGAGCATCACATCAAGTGGCTGACGTACAAAAGACGTATTTAAGTCATACAAATTCAGCTGGCTATCGCTCCTAAACTCTCTGTCACCTGTAAGTTCTTTATAGAGTTTCCACATACTTGGAGAATTTTTGGCAAGACAATAGTTTATGAGTAAACATAGAGTTGAGACGTCTAATCTCTAGGTTTATCAGACCATTTAGCTTACGAACTTCATTGGAGTTTTTCTACTTGTACATTCTTTCTTTCACCCTCCGTAGTCGTTTTAGTTGTGAAGATGTAAGTCGATCAAAACTCACAGAAATTGTTTCAGTGAGACAACAAATATCAAAACAGAATTTAAGGTAACAGGTGATAACATCGGTAGTGATTTCCAGTGAGTCATCTGTAAATAATTCTCAGTTAGTCGTATGAAACATGTTTTTCAGATTTTGGATGTTTTCGTCTGAGTAATTCCTATATTGGACTTTCTTGGTTTGATGTAAGAGTGTACTCTTCCCATGCTTTCCATATACTTTAGGTAGAACACGAATTATACTGTGATCCGAGCAAGACAATGGAGCACGTTTACGAGTCGCATATATACACACATCATTAATGAAAACGAAGTCTAAATGAGCATCCAAACGGGTAGGAAAATCTACTACATTTTGGTGACCTAATGACGTAAGGAAGCTACAGTCACATGAATTGAAATCACCACATAAAACTGAAAGTGAATCACTGAAGGCAGTAACAGCAAACGCAGTGAATTCATCAGCGAAAACAGATAGCGCAGATGATGTGCAGTCTGGAGTCACGTAGATATTGGTAACATAAATATATTTGTGTTTATCCAGATGTTTTGGACGACATCTTAGAGTTGGACAGTCGATAAAGTCATTTGAAAACTTAAAACACACAAACGATGATCGACACCAGTTTACGTTTGAAA